GACACACTGTAGTCTTTCAAGACACACTACAGTCTTACAAGACACACTACAGTCTTACAAGACACACTACAGTCTTGCAAGACAAACTACAGTCTTACAAGACACACTACAGTCTTACAAGACACACTACAGTCTTACAAGACACACTACAGTCTTACAAGACACACTACAGTCTTACAAGATACACTACAGTCTTACAAGACACACTACAGTCTTACAAGACACACTGTAGTCTTTCAAGACACACTACAGTCTTACAAGACACACTACAGTCTTACAAGACACACTATAGTCTTACAAGACACACTACAGCCTTACAAGACACACTACATTCTTACAAGACACACTACAGTCTTACAAGACACACTACAGTCTTACAAGACACACTACAGTCTTACAAGACACACTACAGTCTTACAAGACACACTACAGTCTTACAAGACACACTACAGTCTTACAAGACACACTACAGTCTTACAAGACACACTACAGTCTTGCAAGACACACTACAGTCTTGTAAGACACACTACAGACTTAATAGACACACTACAGTCTTACAAGACACACTACAGTCTTACAACACACACTACAGTCTTACAAGACACACTACAGTCTTACAAGACACACTGTAGTCTTACAAGACACACTACATTCTTACAAGACACACTGTAGACTTACAAGGCACACTACTGTCTTACAAGACACACTACAGTCTTACAAGACACACTACAGCCTTACAAGACACACTACAGTCTCACAAGACACACTACAGTCTTACAAGACACTCTACAGTCTTACTAGACACACTATAGTCTCACAAGACACACTACAGTCTTACAAGACACACTACAGTCTTACAAGACACACTGTAGTCTTACAAGACACACTATAGTCTTACAAGACACACTATAGTCTTACAAGACACACTACAGCCTTACAAGACACACTACAGTCTTACAAGACACACTATAGTCTTACAAGACACACTACAGTCTTGCAAGACACAATACAGTCTTACAAGACACACTACAGACTTAATAGACACACTACCGTCTTACAAGACACACTACAGTCTTACAAGGCACACTACAGTCTTGCAAGACACAATACAGTCTTACAAGACACAGTACAGTCTTACGAGACACACTACAGTTTTATGAGACACACTACAGTCTTACAAGACACACTACAGTCTTACAAGACACACTAGTGTCTTACAAAACACACTACTCTCTTACAAGACACACTACAGTTTTACAAGACACACTGTAGTCTTTCAAGACACACTACAGTCTTACAAGACACACTACAGTCTTACAAGACACACTATAGTATTACAAGACACACTACAGTCTTACAAGACACACTACAGTCTTACAAGACACACTACAGTCTTACAAGACACACTATAGTATTACAAGACACACTACAGTCTTACAAGACACACTACAGTCTTACAAGACACACTACAGTCTTACAAGACACACTACAGTCTTACAAGACACACTATAGTATTACAAGACACACTACAGTCCTACAAGACACACTACAGTCTTGCAAGACACACTATAGTATTACAAGACACACTACAGTCCTACAAGACAAACTACAGTCCTACAAGACACACTACAGTCTTACAAGACACACTACAGTCTTACAAGACACACTACAGTCTTACAAGACACACTATAGTATTACAAGACACACTACAGTCTTACAAGACACACTACAGTCTTGCAAGACACACTACAGACTTAAATGTGGTCAATAACTGCCGTAAACTTAGTTTTAATAACGATTTCCCTGCTTTATAGGAGCGACCCTCTGTCATTGTAATTCTTATCAATCTGTATAACAATTACAGTTAAATACACATGTTAACTACAGCTCAACAATGTTATACAATGTTATAAGCTATAAATATTAATAACTTTCGCGTAATATTTATAGGTTGAAATATCAAGCGTAGGGAAGCCCAAGGATAACAAATTAACCTGATTTCTTAATGTACAAATACGTGGACCTTCATAATTTACAGAGATAAATGATAACTTCATTACCTGTTGCAATTTTAATAGTGGGTATTAGCAATCTGTTTAGATGCTTATTACATATATTATCCATTATCTCTAATAGTGGGTATAAGCAGTCTGTTTAATAGCTTATTACATGTATTATCTCTAATAGTGGGGATAAGCAGTCTGTTTAATAGCTTATTACATGTATTATCTCTAATAGTGGGTATAAGCAGTCTGTTTAATAGCTTATTACATGTATTTTCATTAGAACTAAGAGTACATTTCAATAATTTTAATTCAGGATGCAGATAAACATAAGTATAAATTAAAAGAGGCTTTACATTATGAAGACTTGTTTAACTGCTGTCAAAATTATTTTTTTTTTCGATACTGGTAATGAAGACGAGCTAAATTTGTATAAGTTTGTCTTCTCTACAGTGACTTACTGAGTGTACCTACAGTTCTTTCAAAAATTATTTTGGGATAAAAGTAATTTGTAGATAGAGAATTTAAATAATTTAAAAAGAAGAGATCATGGTTAACTGTCTTAATCAAGAAGAAAGTGACAACATAATTACCTTATATATATATATATATATATATATATATATATATATATATATATATATATATATATATATATATATATATATATATACATTTATATAATATATATATATTTATTATTATCACACTGGCCGATTCCCACCAAGGCAGGGTGGCCCGAAAAAGAAAAACTTTCACCATCATTCACTCCATCACTGTCTTGCCAGAAGGGTGCTTTACACTACAGTTTTTAAACTGCAACATTAACACCCCTCTTTCAGAGTGCAGGCACTGTACTTCCCATCTCCAGGACTCAAGTCCGGCCTGCCGTTTCCCTGAGCCCCTTCATAAATGTTACTTTGCTCACACTCCAACAACACGTCAAGTATTAAAAACAATTTGTCTCCATTCACTCCTATCAAACACGCTCACGTATGCCTGCTGGAAGTCCAAGCCCCTCGAACACAAAACCTCCTTTACCCCCTCCCTCCAACCTTTCCTAGGCCGACCCTACCCCGCCTTCCCTTTCCCCTACAGACTGATACACTCTTGAAGTCATTCTGTTTCGCTCCATTCTCTCTACATGTCCGAACCACCTCAACAACCCTTCCTCAGCCCTGTGGACAACAGTTTTTGTAATCCCGCACCTCCTCCTAACTTCCAAACTACGAATTCTCTATATTATATTCACACCACACATTGCCCTCAGACATGACATCTCCACTGCCTCCAGCCTTCTCTTCGCTGCAACATTCATCACCCATGTTTCACACCATATAAGAGCGTTGGTAAAACTATACTCTCATACATTCCCCTCTTTGCCTCCAAAGACAAAGTTCTTTGTCTCCACAGACTCCTAAGTGCACCACTCACCCTTTTCCCCTCATCAATTCTATGATTCACCTCATCCTTCATAGACCCATCCGCTGACACGTCCACTCCCAAATATCTGAATACATTCACCTCCTCCATACTCTCTCCCTCCAATCTTATATCCAATCTTTCATCACCTAATCTTTTTGTTATCCTCATAACCTTACTCTTTCCTGTATTCACTTTTAATTTTCTTCTTTTGCACACCCTACCAAATTCATCCACCAATCTCTGCAACTTCTCTTCAGAATCTCCCAAGAGCACAGTGTCATCAGCAAAGAGCAACTGTGACAACTCCCACTTTGTGTGTGATTCTTTATCTTTTAACTCCACGCCTCTTGCCATGACCCTTGCATTTACTTCTCTTACAACCCCATCTATAAAAATATTGAACAACCACGGTGACATCACACATCCTTGTCTAAGGCCTACTTTTACTGGGAAATAATTTCCCTCTTTCCTACATACTCTAACTTGAGCCTCACTATCCTCGTAAAAACTCTTCACTGCTTTCAGTAACTTACCTCCTACACCATACACTTGCAACATCTGCCACATTGCCCCCCTATCCACCCTGTCATACGCCTTTTCCAAATCCACAAATGCCACAAAGACCACTTTAGCCTTATCTATATACTGTTCACTTACATCTTTCACTGTAAACACCTGGTCCACACACCCGCTACCTTTCCTAAAGCCTCCTTGTTCATCTGCTATCCTATTCTCCGTCTTACTCTTAATTCTTTCAATAATAACTCTACCATACACTTTACCAGGTATACTCAACAGACTTATCCCCCTATAATTTTTGCACTCTCTTTTGTCCCCTTTGCCTTTATACAAAGGAACTATGCATGCTCTCTGCCAATCCCTAGGTACCTACATATATATATATATATATATATATATATATATATATATTATATATATATATATATATATATATACATATATGTCGTGTCGAATATGTAAAACTGGTCAATTAGCAAGAACTCATTTAAAATTAAGTCCTTTCTGAAATTTTCTCTTATACGTTTAAAGATATATTTTTTTCATTAACGTTAATGTAATTTTTTTTAATTTTGCACCAAAAGAATCTTAGAAGACTTACCTAACCTTATTACAACAAGAACAATTTATTTTAGCCTAACCCAACTAAATATATTTTAGATTTGTTTACAGTAATTTAATACTAAACAAACACTGTGAAATAATTTGTTTTCGTTAGGTTCAGAATGATTTTGGCGAAATTATTGCATACACAAATTTTCACTTGTCCTATATGGCAAGATGAACGTTGTTATTTAAGCCAAGATCGCAAGTTCTGCCTATTCGGCACGATATATATATATATTATGCAAAAATCATAAACTGTATGTGTCTTTGTATATGCAAAGGAATTGTCTTTGATAATTTGTATTTATCACCAAAGGAGAACCTAGAGAACCAGACATGCGGATGATAATGAAAGATATACACGAACTGGTTCTTGTTTTGGCATCCATATATTTATACATGATAACATATTGTGTTAAATATTACTCATTCTTACAGTATTCTTAGGTTATATTAGTATCATATAAAATGGAAATATAAGTTACATTAACGTTGATACGTTCATATTTTATATAACTTAGATCAGCGTAAGTTACTTTAATTAGGAATTAAACGTATGTGTAACTGTTCATAATGAATTTTAATTTCACCTTACATTTCATTCGTAAATTAGCTTTACATTCTTATATTAGTTTCCTCTGTAATATAATTAAATTTTAATTATAGATTAACTTTTCTCTATAATAACCATGTCATTAAATGTCCAAATGTTGCACTGAGATTAGCCGTAGCTGGGAGCGGGGTGGTAAGATGGGGCGGGATGGTAGGCCGGGTACTTGGCTTCTCCTTGATATTCAACTTGGGCAACGTAGCCGGAGTCGCCGTTTACAACGTAAGTCACCTTCTGCAGGCGACCGTCGGGGAGCTGGACGTAGTAAGTCCCCTGGGTGTTGTAGCCGTTACGATTTTCTTGATGGCCGAAGTCGTTACCAAAGTTGTCACTCACGGAGTAGTCGAAGTTGTACTGAGCAGGACCCTGAGGGGAAGATGAAAGATGTGGAAAATCTTTTAATCTTAAACGGGTCATCTATATGACTGAGACCCATGTCAGGGGACACTTATTGCGTCTGCTGGTGGATATTGTTGCAACTGAACTAAGCGCAGAAATTTAACAAAATATAAAGAATACTTTTGGAGATTAATATTAGCAGTTCACAGCAGGAAAATGGAAACGTGTATTGAAGTACTTACCAGGGGCACAGGTGCTGGACGGCTATAGCTAGGAGCATAAGAAGGGGCGGGAATTGGTGAGGGGCGGTTGTGGAATGGGGCAGGGCGGATGGGCACGGGTGCCGGAGCACCGTAGTACTGTGGCCGTGGGCGAGCCATGGCGGCTGCCACCAACACAGCTAACACAATGACCTGTTGGTGAAGAGACCAGCCTTCAGTGTTCACCTTCAAACACCAGTCTCAGAGGAGGAAAATTGTCCTATGCAGGAGCCTTAGTGCAGGTTGTGTTCATTTTAGGCAGCATAACTGAAGACTCAAGTTAGCGTGTGTGTTCAAAGCATAATTTTTGGGTTAAGGTAAATGTGGAATTGTAATTGTATTTTACTGAAAGATATTTTTATATTTTTCTCCTTTACATTATTTAGTTACTAGTAACTTAACAGAAAAAAAACTGAGTTGTGACCAAAGCTCAGATGTTAGCAAAAAGTTAAAGGTTTTCAATACCCCAATACTTTTTCTGATCTTAGATGTAAATGCTTCTCTCGACGTGATAAACTACTGACTCCATTACATTCTTATAGTGAACGAATATTATGAAGAAGTGAAGTGTGGTAGAGCACCAGACGTACCTTGGCTGTCATCTTGGTGACTGTTGAGAAAATGATAAAGGTGACAGTGTCTGCTTCTCTTATATACACACAACACTCCACCACGGCGAGTTTCCTCACAATACCGTCGAAAAGAGAGGTCAATGTTGATGCTGTAGAGACATAAGTTACGAAATTTGTGAAGGCAGCAGAGCAGAACGGTAGCATGGCCAATTTGCTACATTTTGTTGCCATGCGTTCTGTTTACTTGATATAAACTGGAGCCCACCAAGTAGGCGTCTCGAATTGCACGAACCTTACTTGACCAGGCGTAAACATTTAACGACATAAATTTTTCCTTCTATGCATCCAACACTCACGTTAAGATATTTTGCTTATTTTTTTTAGAATTCATAACCTGAACATTACCATGACATGCATTCAGTTCCGATAAATAATGAATACATAAACCTTACGAATGTAATTACGGATGAAGTAACTAAGAACAAATGAATATTTTAATCCAAGTTGTAATTACACTAAACCGTTTTCGTTATCAACAATGTCTTCTGTCAGCCTTGTGCTAGACGACTTTTTTTTTTTCGACCATAAGAAGAATGACAAGAAATAGAGGGTGAGAAATGTGGAAGGAAAGAACAATGACAATAAAATTGTGGAAAGCCAGAAAATAAGGTAAGAAATATTAAGTGGCTTGATCACTTTGGGTTGGGTTTAACAGAATGTTTTATGTCATATATTGTCTTGGCTGTGTATGAACATCTATCATCAGTTAGAAGTAAAACTAAGAGGAAAATTCAGCTTCTGTGAGGAGGATTTAAGAAACAACCGCTTACATGGAACTATACAGTAGAAGAGGCTAAAGGACACGTGTATGAAGCTCTGATACACACATACCCAGAATTCATATACATGAAACCACAACCATAATTGAACTGACTCGCCGCTTTCAGCGAAGGTTTTTTGCGGCATCTGATCTGCAATATTGTCGATAATTTCACTGGTATTGCAATTTTCTCAGTGTTGACCTTTATCCATCCATTGTTGATGCTACTTCACAAGAAAAATCTTCAAGTTTTATTTTATATAGACGTAATATTGAAACTGTATTTTTTGCGAGAGAACGAGAGCACGTAGACGGTAAATAAATTATTATTTGCTAATATTAGCATCGTTTTGAGTAAAATGGTAGAATTACCGACAAAATGTTTCGTAACTGGACACAGATGCAACTAATGTGACATTTTATTTTGACAACGTTTCGCTCTCTGGCTTCTCTATGTGGATTTTTTTTTCAGGCACCAGAGCTGTCTTGTAGAATGGGAACTTATACACAACATTCCATAAACGAATCTTATACCACGCTTTGTATCTTCTCATATTTGCCTTTCTCATTATTTGATCAAATGTATTATTCTCCAGAAGATACGATCTTGACCTGCCTAACCTCCCAGTGCCCTGAATTGCTTGCATTATCATCTTTTCTTTCTCTTTCGCCCCTCGACGGTGGTCTAAAATATGTCGAAACTTCTTCAATTTATATTTTTATATTGAGGATTAATTGTGAATAATAATCGTATGTTGAGGACACAAAGAGCACGAAGAATGACTATGCCCTCGTCTGCTACACCTGACGTTACTATATAAGCGCCATGCTCCTTACTTCTGCTTCAGAATCTCCACGACTACGGTGCTCTTCGCACCTACTCCTAGGTTGAGGGACTGATTACCTCATCTTCTGTATATAGTCCTACTGTCTTCAAGTTATGTCCTGGAATTTGTATTGATAAAGCCACTGGATGGCGAAACGTCTACAATAAAGATACCCAGATGTTGCACATGTGTCTTAATAGTAACGCTGGTGTTACCCAAAGATAGGACTGATATGTTGTATAAATAGTCTGGGATGGCTCATTGTTGAGGCTTCCGAAGGCCACTCTTAAATTTGCCAATCGAGCTCTGGCAGCAGAAGTTATTTGGCTGATGTGAGCCTCTGGCGATATGCTTGACGCTATGCTCACCCATAGGTTTTTCACTTTGAGAGGTTTATAGCCTCTGTCCCACGAGTTTATTCTCTGTACTACTTCTTGTGGCTCCTTCCCCGATGTTCACAATCTTGCAGATGCTGGAATTGAATCTTCACAATCTTGCAGATGCTGGAATTGAATCTTCACAATCTTGCAGATGCTGGAATTGAATCTTCACAATCTTGCAGATGCTGGAATTGAATCTTCACAATCTTGCAGATGCTGGAATTGAATCTTCACAATCTTGCAGATGCTGGAATTGAATCTTCACAATCTTGCAGATGCTGGAATTGAATCTTCACAATCTTGCAGATGCTGGACATTGAATCTTCACAATCTTGCAGATGCTGGAATTGAATCTTCACAATCTTGCAGATGCTGGAATTGAATTTTCACAATCTTGCAGTTTGTCCTGATCCTTCCTCAACTCTTTTTATTCTACTCATTGTTTTAACATCCCCAGCAAATAAGGATATATCTGGCTTAATTCCATCTGTTATGTCATTTATATAAACCAAAAGAACAGTCCTGGTCCTAATTTTTCTGGAAATGTATCTATCATTTCATTTTGTGTGTGATGTGCTGTGTGTATTAGTTGTGTGTTGTTGTGCTGTTGTGCGTGCTGCGTGCTGCGCGTCCGACGCAAGTGTTGAAAACACGGAGCCTCTTGCTCTGGTAAATTGACTTTGTATGTTTAATACGTAACGAGCAGCTGTTGGCGGTTGATCTCACACAGCACTCTGGAACCTGCTCGCTGCTGAACCTGCTTTTTGATTCATGTCTAGGTTTAACAGCGTGTTCCTTGTCATACCTAGATCATGTCTTGCCTGCCTCCTGAATTCTCTGTCTCTCTCTCTGTTCCTCTCTTCTCTGTCTCTCTCTCTCTCTTTCTCCTCTCTCCCTTCTCTCTCAAATGTACTTAGCTATATAAAAATGTTAAAAACGTTGGTGTAAATCAGCCTTGGGACCATCACTTCAAACTTCATCAATTATTTAACTAAAGTTTAAAACAAGAACCTTTCTTTACTCATTCACTCTGGCTCCTCACACACTTGTCTCACCTCTCACACACTTGTCTCACCTCTCACACACTTGTCTCACCTCTCACACACTTGTCTCACCTCTCACACACTTGTCTCACCTCTCACACACTTGTCTCACCTCCACACACTTGTCTCACCTCTCACACACTTGTCTCACCTCTCACACACTTGTCTCACCTCTCACACACTTGTCTCACCTCTCACACACTTGTCTCACCTCTCACACACTTGTCTCACCTCTCACACACTTGTCTCACCTCTCACACATTGTCTCACCTCTCACACACTTGTCTCACCTCTCACACACTTGTCTCACCTCTCACACACTTGTCTCACCTCTCACACACTTGTCCCTCACCTCTCACACACTTGTCTCACCTCTCACACACTTGTCTCACCTCTCACACACTTGTCTCACCTCTCACACACTTGTCTCACTCCACACTTGTCTCACTCTACACTTGTCTCACCTCTCACACACTTGTCTCACCTCTCACACACTTGTCTCACCTCTCACACACTTGTCTCACCTCTCACACACTTGTCTCACCTCTCACACACTTGTCTCACCTCTCACACACTTGTCTCACCTCTCACACACTTGTCTCACCTCTCACACACTTGTCTCACCTCTCACACACTTGTCTCACCTCTCACACACTTGTCTCACCTCTCACACACTTGTCTCACCTCTCACACACTTGTCTCACCTCTCACACACTTGTCTCACCTCTCACACACTTGTCTCACCTCTCACACACTTGTCTCACCTCTCACACACTTGTCTCACCTCTCACACACTTGTCTCACCTCTCACACACTTGTCTCACCTCTCACACACTTGTCCTCTACTTGTCTCACTCCACACACTTGTCTCACCTCTCACACACTTGTCTCACCTCTCACACACTTGTCTCACCTCTCACACACTTGTCTCACCTCTCACACACTTGTCTCACCTCTCACACACTTGTCTCACCTCTCACACACTTGTCTCACCTCTCACACACTTGTCTCACCTCTCACACACTTGTCTCCACCTCTCACACACTTGTCTCACCTCTCACACACTTGTCTCACCTCTCACACACTTGTCTCACCTCTCACACACTTGTCTCACCTCTCACACACTTGTCTCACCTCTCACTGGAAAGCTAAATACAATACAAATTAACTGGAAACGAAGCACAGATGGTCTCGTTGTAGTGCTTCTTGTAAAGCGCCTTCCTGGAAGCAGCCATCACGGGGATGATGTTAGGTGATGCTCCCCAATTAAATTAATTCTGCTTCAGAACCACCTGACATTTATGAAGAGATTCAGGGAAACCGGTTATGCTGAGTCCTGGGGGTGTAAAACTCAACGACTCTACTCAGAGGGTCATTTGCAATATAATGTCTGCGCAAGTTATACCTATTCGGCACGACTAATATATACATATTTATTCTTCATGGGGAAGTGGAACAGAATTCTTCCTCCGTAAGCCATGCGTGTCTTAAGAGGCGACTAAATTGCCCTTTCCTCTGTATAGATTACTAAAGTTTAAAAGTAAAACTTTTGTTTGTCTTTTTGAGCCACCCTGCCACGGTGGGATACAGCCCGTTTGTTGAAAGAAGAAAGATATAGGTTTATACATATATTTATATACACTCAAGATTCTCTAGGAAATTACAAGTAAGCAAGTTTGGAGCGTAGAAAGTTACTCTCTGACGACCAGTACTGCATAACGTAACGGTGATGTTCTTGATGATAAATCTGGGTTTTTACCTGGAACAGGTTATTAGGAGCTCTCCCAACTTTCCCCATCAACCTCGTCTACCAAAATACAATCAACGAACAACATGCAAGCAATTATCACTGACCATCATCACCTAAACATCAGACCAGCTAAACATCACCCACACAACAAACACCAAACACTATTCACTGCCACGTAATGGAAAAAAAAACACAAACTCACCCTCTCCGTTGCGTCA